CAGTCTGTTTGGCCGTTGAGGTCCAGCGGTGCACACTGAGCTGGGCAGGTCCCAGGTTGAGGTCCAGCGGTGCACACTGAGGTGGGAAGGTCCCAGGTTGAGGTCCAGCGCTGCACACCGGGCTGGGCAGGTCCCAGGTTGAGGTCCAGCGGTGCACACTGAGCTGGGACGGTCCCAGGTTCAGGTTCAGCGGTGCACACTGAGCTGGGAAGTTGGCAAAGAGCTTGGCGAAGAGACTTGGCAAAGAGCTTGGCGAAGAGTTGGAAAGGCGGAAGTGCAGGTGGAAGTTGATGCAGACATGGTCGAGGAGAAACTGGAGGAGGAGGAGGCGAGGAGGAGGACGAGGAGGAAGAGGACAGCTAGTCGAGGAGGAGGAGGAGGACGAGGAGGATGAGGCGGAGGAAGAGCGCTCTGATAAAATCTAACAACCGTCACCTGGCAGGTGGGTAAAAATATATAGTGGAATTAAATGTGATGTTGCCATCACAACTGTTCCTCGATCTGCGAGGTGGTCCGAGCCCGCCATGTGAATAGCAACACAACTGGAACCGTAAAGTCCATTTCATTTGGGGGGTAGACTAGACAAAAAACAATATATATATATATCAAAATATAGATGCTCAGGATTCAAAGATTGATTGCCAGTTCTTTTGCCGGTTGCTTCTGACCCCAGAAGCATGGAGCATAGATGCAAAGAAAAGATACAACCTTGCCTTCTTGCGACTGGACTCCTTGTAGGAGAAACAAATATACAAAAATATACACAACAAAGCTCTGCAAAGCCAAAGATATTTTCGAAAGCTCGCAGAGCCACCAAGCGTCGCTACAACTTTTCGCAGCCATGGACGCTGCAGGGGAGGGTTTGAGGAGTTTTGAAGGCTGGCAAACGGCAGCCTTGAACCTCCTTAAAAGGACACTGCCACGGCCTCAGGGACTTGTTGGAGCTGCAGGAAAGGTCTGCCGCGGCCTGAGTGGCGCCTGGGAGCTGCAGGGGAGGGTTTGGGGAGTTTTGAGGGCTGGCAAACGGCAGCCTTGAACATCCTTAAAAGGACACTGCCAGGGCCTCAGGGACTTGTTGGAGCTGCAGGAAAGGTCTGCCGCGGCCTGAGTGGCGCCTGGGAGCTGCAGGGGAGGGTTTGAGGAGTTTTGAAGGCTGGCAAACGGCAGCCTTGAACGTCCTTAAAAGGACACTGCCACGGCCTCAGGGACTTGTTGGAGCTGCAGGAAAGGTCTGCCGCGGCCTGAGTGGCGCCTGGGAGCTGCAGGGAAGGGTTTGGGGAGTTTTGCGGGCTGGCAAACGGCAGCCTTGAACGTCCATAAAAAGACGCTGCCAGGGCCTCAGGGACTTGTTGGAGCTGCAGGAAAGGTCTGCCGCGGCCTGAGTGGCGCCTACGAGCTGCAGGGGAGGGTTTGGGGAGTTTTGAGGGCTGGCAAACGGCAGCCTTGAACGTCCATAAAAAGACGCTGCCAGGGCCTCAGGGACTTGTTGGAGCTTCAGGAAAGGTCTGCCGCGGCCTGAGTGGCGCCTGGGAGCTGCAGGGGAGGGTTTGGCGAGTTTTGCGGGCTGGCAAGCGGCAGCCTTGAACGTCCTTAAAAGGACACTGCCAGGGCCTCAGGGACTTGTTGGAGCTGCAGGAAAGGTCTGCCGCGGCCGGAGTGGCGCCTGGGAGCTGCAGGGGAGGGTTTGGCGAGTTTTGCGGGCTGGCAAACGGCAGCCTTGAACCTCCTTAAAAGGACACTGCCACGGCCTCAGGAGTTGTTGGAGCTGCAGGAAAGGTCTGCCGCGGCCTGAGTGGCGCCTGGGAGCTGCAGGGGAGGGTTTGGCGAGTTTTGCGGGCTGGCAAACGGCAGCCTTGAACGTCCTTAAAAGGACACTGCCAGGGCCTCAGGGACTTGTTGGAGCTGCAGGAAAGGTCCGCCGCGGCCTGAGTGGCGCCTGGGAGCTGCAGGGGAGGGTTTGGCGAGTTTTGGAGGCTGGCAAACGGCAGCCTTGAACTCCTTAAAAGGACACTGCCACGGCCTCAGGGACTTGTTGGAGCTGCAGGAAAGGTCTGCCGCGGCCTGAGTGGCGCGTGGGAGCTGCAGGGAGGGTTTGGGGAGTTTTGCGGGCTGGCAAACGGCAGCCTTGAACGTCCATAAAAAGACGCTGCCAGGGCCTCAGGGACTTGTTGGAGCTGCAGGAAAGGTCTGCCGCGGCCTGAGTGGCGCCTGGGAGCTGCAGGGGAGGGTTTGGCGAGTTTTGAAGGCTGGCAAACGGCAGCCTTGAACCTCTTTACTGCCACGGCCTCAGGGACTTGTTGGAACTGCACAGGGTCTGCCGCGGCCTGTTGCGTTTTGGAACGCCGTAGAAACAGAGATTGCTGTGGCATGAGTGGCTCGTGGGAAGTGCACAGAAATTGCTGTGGCCTGAGTGGCTCCTGCGCGGTGAACAGAGGGTGCTATGGCCTGGGTGGCTCGTGGAAAGTGCAAAGCATTGGGAACGAAAAAAAGTTCCACACCTGCGGTGGTCCCAGGCGCCGCCCCTGCCTTGGCTAAGGCAGGGGTCGGCGGATATTTAAGTCAAACCTTTGCAGGATAGGCGAAGGTGTAGTGCACAAGACATTGACATATCTTTAAGTCAAACTTCTGTTGCAGGATAGGCGAAGGTGTAGTACACAAGACATTGACATATCTTTAAGTTTTTTTTGCAGGATAGGTGAAGGTGAAGTGCAGAAGACATTGACATATCTTTAAGTCAAACTTTTGCAGGATAGGCGAAGGTGTAGTACACAAGACATTGACATATCTTTAAGTCAAACTTCTGTTGGACAGGCGAAGGTGTAGTACACAAGACATTGACATATTAGTAAGTCAAACCTCCTTTGCAGGATAGGCGAAGGTGTAATACACAAGACATTGACATATATTTAAGTCAAACCTTTGCAGGATAGGCGAAGGTGTAGTGCACAAGACATTGACATATCTTTAAGTCAAACTTCTGTTGCAGGATAGGCGAAGGTGTAGTACACAAGACATTGACATATCTTTAAGTTTTTTTGCAGGATAGGTGAAGGTGAAGTGCAGAAGACATTGACATATCTTTAAGTCAAACTTTTGCAGGATAGGCGAAGGTGTAGTACACAAGACATTGACATATCTTTAAGTTGTTTTTTTGCGGGATAGGTGAAGGTGAAGTGCAGAAGACATTGACATATCTTTAAGTCAATTTTTTGCAGGATAGGCGAAGGTGTAGTACACAAGACTTTGACATATCTTTAAGTCAAACCTCCTTTGCAGGATAGGCCAAGGTGTAGTACAGAAGACATTGACATATCTTCAAGTCAAACTTTTGCAGGATAGGCGAAGGTGTGGTATACAAGACATTGACATATTAGTAAGTCAAACCTTGTTTGCAGGATAGGCTAAGGTTTAGCACAGAAGACATTGGCATATCTTTAAGTTAATCCTCCTTTACAGGATATGCGAAGGTATAGCGCACAAGACATTGACATATCTTTAAGTCAAACCTCCTTTGCAGGATAGGCGAAGGTGTAATACACAAGACATTGACATATCTTTCAGTCGAATTTTCTTTGCAGCATTGGCGAAGGTGTAGTACACAAGACATTGACATATCTTTAAGTCGAACTTTTGCAGGATAGGCGAAGGTGTAGTGCAGAAGACAATTGCATATCTTCAAGTCAAACCTTTGACATATCTTTAAGGCAAACCTCCTTTGCAGGATAGGCGAAGGTGTAGTGCACAAGACATTGACATATCTTCAAGTCAAACTTTTGCAGGATAGGCGAAGGTGTAGTATACAAGACATTGACATATTAGTAAGTCAAACCTCGTTTGCAGAATAGGCGAAGGTGTAGTACACAAGACATTGACATATTGGTAAGTCAAACCTCCTTTGCAGGATAGGCAAAGGTGTAGTACAAAAGACAGTGACATATCTTTAAGTCAAACTTTTGCATTATAGGCGAAGGTGTAATACGCAAGACATTGACATATCTTTAAGTCAAATTTTTGCAGGATAGGCGAAGGTGTAGTACGCGAGACATTGACATATCTTTAAGTCAAACTTTTGCAGGATAGGCGAAGGTGTAGTACGCAAGACATTGACATATCTTTAAGTCAAACCTCCTTTGCAGGATAGGCGAAGGTGTAGTACACAAGACATTGACATATCTTCAAGTCAAACTTTTGCAGGATAGGCGAAGGTAGAGTATACAAGACATTGACATATTAGTAAGTCAAACCTTGTTTGCAGGATAGGCGAAGGTTTAGCACAGAAGACATTGACATATCTTTAAGTTAATCCTCCTTTACAGGATATGCGAAGGGTAGTACACAAGACATTGACATATCTTTAAGTCAAACTTTTGCAGGATATGCGAAGGTGTAGTACACAAGACATTGACATAGCTTTAAGTCAATCCTCCTTTGCAGGACAGGCGAAGGTGTAGTTCACTAGACATTGACATATCTTTAAGCCAAACCTCCTTTGCTGGACAGGTGAATGTGTAGTATACAAGACATTGACATATCTTTGAGCCAAACCTCCTTTGCAGGACAGGCGAAGGTGTAGTACACAAGACATTGACATATCTTTAAGTCAATCCTCCTTTGCAGGACAGGTGAAGGTGTAGTATACAAGACATTGACATACCTTGACATATCTTTAAGTCAATCCTCCTTTGCACAAAATGCAACCTGTTATGATTCAGCTATGTTTGAGGAAAGCTATGTTTAGATACAACTTTTTTTCCAGTTACATTGGGTACCCTTACTCCTCCTTATCCTGCCTTTTCAAGGTGTTCAGGGTCACACCTGTGTTAAGCAGCCCTTGGATTGGGATGGGCAGCGGTCTTTTTGGGATATGATATAAAATATATATATATACTTATATATATATATCTCTCTCATATATATATATCATATATATATATATCATATATATATATGTGTGTGTGTGGGTCTTTAGGTGTTCATTTTGTTAACTTCCTCGATGCCAGGGCACCAACGAGTATTGTCGGCTAGATCAGCTGCCAGAGGATGGCGATGAGGACCGCGGATTTCTGTCATGGCTCCAACAAACTTCATTTTTTTCAATGGAAAATCCCTGAAGTCCTCACAAATCCTGACTTGGAATTTGGAAGGTTGTCTTTCTGAAGAGCTTTTCATAGAATTTCATGGCGCTTGGCCCTGAAACTTTCGGATTTCCAATGCTGGGGTAAACCTATCAAGGTGACAAGCCACGTCAGGATGTGGAGGTTGGCCCCAAGATCAGAAAGATCAGCCAGAAGATCACCCATGTTGCAGGACGGTTTTGGGAGCAGTTTCCAATGTTCAAAGGTTAACCTTGGGTTCTGACCAGAACCGAACTGTCTGTTGGATTTTTTTCACAGTGATTGGGTAAAGTTTCTTTATCCGAAAAGGTCCATGCAAGGTGACTTTTGGCCCATCAAGAGAGATCGATCACCCAGAAAGCGTCATTTTCTTTGCTGATTTCTCCATGAGATAATCAAATTGACTGGTTTTGATGTGTTTTGAGTTGGCGCCAAAAGTTTCTATATCTTTGTTTTGGATAATTTCATGACAACATGACAACATGACAACATGTTATTTCATATATTTCATCACGTCCTTTTCGTCAGGTGCCAGCATCGCATTTTGCGCAAGCCATGGCTACGACAATTGCACCAAGTCGGGTGAATACCTCGTCCGCGGAGGTGCTGGATCTATCCATTTTGGGGCCAAAACGACCGATATCTGCCGTGGATGCAGGTGACTACTCCGATGAGGTCGCTGAGCTCACAGAGGACCGTTGATGGAAACAGCTCAACATTGTGACCTGCAGGATGATGAAACAGTATTAAACCAACCATATTCACACATATTAAACACTATAAAATACAAAAGACTGGTGGGTTCCGGTGGGCTCATTGGCACCGTATTGGTCTACCGGGACTTGCAGGTTACCAGTTTCATCTCCCACGAGCAATGCGAGCAGGAGAGCTGTAGCAAATGGATCTCCTTGTTGAATCGAGCGAGATTAATGTTTGGTGCTTGGTGGGTGGATGGTCGGGTATCATAGCTTCATAGCTTATTCATAGCTTATTCATAGCTTATTCATAGCTTATCACTCCATCAGTGCTGGATTTGTTTCGATGTTTAATAGGAATAGTGGTCAACTGAAACAAGCCTATCACAGTGTACTGTTCGATTCTATCAATGTCAAACGAAGGTTCTGTGCTAGTGGGCGATCTTCAGGGTAGACACGTTCCATTCCTTACATTGCAGAGCTGGAGGGTTACATTGCTTACGCGTGCATGCTTGTGATTCATCGGTGGGGATTTCCTGGGCTTTCAAACCTGGTTGATGCTGTGAGGGTAGGGCTGGCCAGTTTGCAGCAAAGAAATCTTCCACCAGTAGGCTCTAGACCGTGAAAGCCTTCAGTATCGGAAGCACAGAAAAGGACCTATTCTCAATCCGCTCCACATCCACTGAGGTTAGTCTACATCTTCGGAGAAGGTGGAGCCGGCATGGGAGCATTGGGAGAATGGTTCCTTCGCCAAAACGGCCTATTCAGTTTGAATATGTTAGAACCCAAAAGTTTGAGCTGGTTGCACAAAGACAAATGAAAAGTTGCATGAATTTGCACAAAGATATCGTGTGGTTCTTGACAGCTTGGGGTGGCATCAGTGCCAATGGACATCCCCTTCTATGAAGATGACACCAGACCGAAACTACCAACATGTAACATAACTGTGTTTTATACACATCAGAATATCACAGAATGAAGCACCATTCTCTTACACTGTCCAGAAGTTTTGTGCCTCTCCTGAATTTCCCCTTACCTTGGAACATGTGGCACATTTTTTGCGGATTGCTTGGCTCCACCACGTAGTTATCGACACGATGCAAAGACACAAAATATGTTTAATAAGTTTATAAGCGCGTCGATCGTACACGTACTGTATTTTTTGTCACTGCTGTTGGGTATATCGTTCGCGTGTTTTCAATCGGTACTTTGCTCAAATCGCTAATAGCGTAAACTCGTTCATTTTAGATGGTAGATCCTTGAGATGGCAAAAAAAACGTTACAAGAATAAAGTATGCACCAGTCATGTTCAGACACTATCCCATCAAAGCGCGAACTATGGCTAGCCCCATTTTAAACGCGATCTTGAGCAACCTCATAGGACCTGGGATATGGATCAACAGGATCCCGAATCCAGACAAATTGGTCTATTTTCAGAGCATTTAGGATTGAAGAGAACTAATCAATACGAATCAGATATTTTGTTTGGATATACTAATACTAATCAATACTAATCAATACCAATCATTTAGGATATTTTGGTATCCCGTTCCCAGAATGTCGGGTCAGCTCCATGGAGCCAGGCCGAGGACAATTGGAATTGTTGCCCTTTGACGAAGATTCTGACGCTGTAGAGTTGCCGTGGCCCGGCAACACACGTGGCCCATGTGGCCGGGGATGGCATTGGTTTTGGTTTTGATGTGTTGAAGATACAACCATGTGCATAACAATAATGTTTCGGAGTTTGTTCTTTTGTTATGATATGTTGTAGCGTTTGTACGCCAAAGGGTAAGAAGAACTTTGCGCGGAGATGTATTAGCAACTAGCATGTGCTCAGGACTCAGTGTTGGTTTTCGCTTTGGGGGTCCACAACTTTTGTTGGGCCCAATTTGTTCGGGTTTCCAATCAAATGGAAGACAGGATGTATGCGATGCATGATTTCTTTCAATTCCAAAGATTGCAAAGCCTCAACTTCAGGACCTAAGATTGAAGCGGGGATTCCCTTAATGCCTTCGAGAATGATTTGCCAAGCTATTGCGCTTCAGTGAAGGCAACAGGTGGTTTTGTTCAAAGTTCGAAACCATACAAGTGGTATCAAGTGGTAGTGGCAAATAAAAAGGCAAGTCCGTGCTTGCACATTTTGCATTTTTTGCACTTTGCCACAAGCTCCATTTCGATCAGTAGTTTTGGTCCTTGGCAACCATGCACAAGCAGTTTCCAAAACTTGCTGAGGACAGAGCCCGACATGCTGGTCAGGATCTCAGGTATTCGGAAATGAAAACCTAGCAGGGTTTCATACACTGATTTTGACCCGGAGAATGCCACTTTCTTTTCTCATCCCTGAGTCAGTTGACGAAAGTGGTGAATGATCCATTGCAGAACGCTTACGCTGCAGGTGGTCCTGCGAGCGGATCAGATGCATCACAAGCATCAATCCAATCGAGGCAGGACATTGAGGGGTGGCCGTGTAGCCAGGTCCGTTTGCTCCTATCACAAGTCTTCTTTAGAATACATGCGTTTCTACCCGATCTGGTGGTACAAAATGGAATTTTGTGCTGGATGGCCCATCCCAGTTCTGATCTTTCGTCATTGAACAAGGTGCAAAGGCATTACATAAGTATTTTCGAAATGAGTCATAATGAGTCTAATTTTTGGGCCCTTTGGCCAGAACCCCCTCCAAACCTTTGGCAGCTTCCAGCCATTCCAGGCACGTTTTCCATCGTCAGTTGGATCACCGCAGCCGAGAATTCCACGACGCGTGGCTGGACTGGAGGCCTCAGCAGGACCAGATGCGATCACCAGACTTTCCCATGACATCTGAAGGAAGTCGAAAGATTGGGACCTGGACTTTGACATTAGCAACAACCACAACTTGCCAGTGACAGCTCAAAGGCTTGTACATTAATGTATATAGAATTACGATGAATTACGTATTTACAAATTATTTACAGATATGGCATATATGGTATTAATCATTGGAGGCTCACCTACTTGGCAGCGGCAGGACCTTTTGGGCCACCATCCCCACAGCGCGGGAGTTAGTGGACTGGGCCCAAGAACGTCTCAAGGACATCCGGAGCGCTGGGGGTGCCAGTGATTGGTCAATGGATGGTGGTTGTTACCTGGTTGTTACTTGTCCTTATTGTTATTGCTTGTTATACCAGTAGTACCGCACAAGGCGGTGGCGGAAGTTTCAAAAATAGGAAACCTATAGGAGAGATTGATTGTTGTGAATCACGGATGGCAGAGCGAATCCACTGATTGACCGAAAGGTGGTTGGAGTTGTGTTTGCTGGAATGGTTGCAATGGTTGCAGTGGTCACCTCACCCACAACTGCTGGATGTAGTGTGATGTACTGCAACTGTAGTTGCAGTTGTAGCGTAGTGGAGTTGTAGTTGTGGTGTAATGTAATTAGTGTAGTGTAGTTGCAGTCATATAGTTGTAGCTGTAGTTGTTTTGTAGTTGTTGTTGTTGTTGTTGCTGTTGTAGTTGTAGCTGTAGTTGTTGTGTGGTTGTAGTTGTTGTTGTAGTTGTAGCTGTAGTTGTTGTGTGGTTGTAGTTGTTGTGTGGTTGTAGTTGTAGTGTAGTGTAGTGTAGTGGTAGTTGTAGTAGTAGTAGTAGTAGTAGGTAGTAGGTAGTAGGTAGTAGGTAGTAGGTAGTAGGTAGTAGGTAGTAGGTAGTAGGTAGTAGGTAGTAGGTAGTAGGTAGTAGGTAGTAGGTAGTAGGTAGTAGTAAGTAGTAAGTAGTAAGTAGTAAGTAGTAAGTAGTAAGTAGTAAGTAGTAAGCAGTAAGCAGTAAGCAGTAAGCAGTAAGCAGTAAGCAGTAAGTAGGAAGTAGGAAGTAGCAAGTAGCAAGTAGCAAGTAGCAAGTAGCAAGTAGCAAGTAGCAAGTAGCAAGTAGCAAGTAGCAAGTAGCAAGTAGCAAGTAGCAAGTAGCAAGTAGCTAGTAGTTAGTAGTTAGTAGTTCGTAGTTAGTAGTTAGTAGTTAGTAGTTAGTAGTTAGTAGGTACTAGGTAGTAGTTAGTAGGTAGTCGTAGTCGTAGTCGTAGTCGTAGTAGTCGTAGTCGTAGTAGTAGTAGTAGTTGTTGTTGTTGTTGTAGTTGTTGTAGTTGTAGTTGTTGTTGCTGTTGTAGTAGTAGTACTAGTAGTAGTAGTAGTAGTAGTAGTACTTGTTGTTGTTGTTGTTGTTGTAGCTGTAGTTGTTGTAGTTGTAGTTGTAGTTCTAGTTGTAGTTCTAGTTGTTGTGTAGTTGTAGTTGTAGTTGTAGTTGTTGTAGTTGTTGTAGTTGTTGTAGTTGTAGTTGTAGTTGTTGTAGTTGTTGTAGTTGTTGTTGTTGCTGTTGCTGTTGTTGCTGTTGTTGTTGTAGTTGTAGTTTCTAGTTGTAGTTCTAGTTGTAGTTGCAGTTCTAGTTCTAGTTGTAGTTGTTGTGTAGTTGTTGTAGCTGTAGTTGTTGTAGTTGTAGTTGTTGTGGTTGGTGTTGGTGTTGTTGTTGTTGTTGTTGTTGTGGTTGGTGTTGTTGTTGTTGTTGTTGTTGTTACGCCCCGAGGCGGGCGTGGTTTTTTCCACGTTTGTGCTCTTTGGCAGTATACGTGTTTAACGCTCTTGCCGACTGTAAGATGACGCTACGGAAGACACGTTGCCCAACTTTGTTGCTGACGTCTTGCTACCTTGACCGGGAGGGGGGGTGGGGGGGGGGGGGGGGATGATAACGTTCCTTTCGACTGTAAGATGACGCTACCGAAGACACGTTGCCCAACTTTGTTGCTGACGTCTTGCTACCTTGACCGGGAGGGGGGGTGGGGGGGGGGATGATAACGTTCCTTTCGACTAAGATGACTGACGGACTGAAAGAGCACTGAAAAACAATAATGAACATTGAACCTCAAGCAGATGTTGCGGAATTGCAAAAGTTTTTTTTTGGCATTTTGACATCTTGCAGCAAACGTCAAAACATCATAGATCACAAGCACAAAATACTGTAAATTACAGTGTAAAAAGGTGATTTTTGATTCAATCACCAAGTACACAATTGTAGAAAACCCACGCCCGCCTCAAGGCGGTGTTCCCTTGTTGTTGTTGTTGTTGTTGTTGTTGCTGTTGTTGTTGCTGTTGCTGTTGCTGTTGCTGTTGTCGTCGAAGTTAGGATAGTTAAGTTAGTGAAGTTAGTTAAGTTAGTCAAGTTAGTTAAGTTAATCAGCGTCTACTTTTTCGACATCTTCACGTCAAAAAAGGCTCAAAACCCTCAGTTTTTTACACTTTTGACTTCGAAATGTGCTTCGCGCCACAACGGCGTGCACTTTTTCGACACTTTTTCGACATCTGAACCTCCAAAAGTGGTCCGAGAACGTCAGTTTTTAACACTTTTGACTTGGAAATGTGCTTCGCGCCACAACGGCGTGCACTTTTTCGACATCTCAACTTCCAAAAGTGGTCCGAGAATGGTGTGTTTTGTACATTTTGACTTCAAAATGTGCTTCGCGCCACAACGGCGTGCACTTTTTCGACATCGCAACTTCCAAAAGTGGTCCGCTCCTCTAGTGTTTTGTCCATTTTGACTTGGAAATGTGCTTCGCGCCACACCGGCGCGAACTTTTTCATGTCTCATCTGGCCAGCTGGCTCCGCACCCGCCGCTTTAGCGAGCCTACTTTTCGACCCTCCGGAGCCACAAATCATTGGAAAAACACACTGAATCGCGACTTTCCTATCTTTTCGCGCATCTACCTCTTCTTTCTTCTGATCTTTTCTCTTCTGACTCTTCTCACCTCTGCTTTTCAACTGTCCATATTGTCGGAAGTTTCACTTCTAAACTTCCTTCGATGAGCACCATGAGTTATATGACTATATGATGTATAGAATGTATACATTGGTGCTCATCCGAGTTCATCCGAGTTCATCAGTGATCAGAGTGATCAGACTTATCAAATTTATTCTTGGTTTGGATGCTGTTGAGTTGGACAACGAACAATCGGACCGGCCAGGACTTGCTGGACATGGAGACTCTGGACAAAGACACGGAGATCCCCAGGGAATGGCCCAGTGCCCCAGTGCCCCAGTGCCGTGCGCCGGTTGACAAGTTGACATGGACCTTGCCCATGCAGGGATCTTGGTGCACGAGCTATATGGGATCAAAGATGATCAAGGTCTTGGTTTTTCTTGATGTTTTATGAGGTATTTGTCGCTATTTATCTATTCAGACGTGCTAAATTGAAAGCGCGCTGCGTAGCTACGTTACACACAGCTACCACCTCTAGATTTTGGGTCCGTCCAACCTTCATCGAGAAATTGCAGGCACCAGCAAAGCCACATCCTTTCCACCTAAATGGGGATGGGTTTGGATGGGGCAAACCTAAAATACGTTAAAATACATTCAAATACCATCTCACCTGAGGAATGAACATCCATAAATCCACAGAAAATCCCATCTATTTTTGATGTGAAAGCGCGTGAAAACGTGTGAAAATCAGTCTTGGTATCTATGGTCAGATTTATGTTTTGCAAGCACTGAGGCAGCTGATGATGCGCCACAGTTTCTTCCGACACAATCGGAGTCCCGTGGCCGTGCGCGGCGAGGCCGGAGCATCGAGATTTTAGTCGTTTATTCTGGTACATCCCATGTTTGTTTCCACTGGTTTCCTAAATGTTCGGATATCCAAAATATTAAAAATGTGGCTTTCCTAGTAGAATTGCCACAAATTGGGGTATCCCTCATGCTGAGACAAATCCAAATATGTAGCTTTATGGTGTTTTATGAAAATAAGAGCTGTGGCCAATCAAGAACATGAACTGTGGAAAAAATGAAAACGATTTGGAATGACTTTCAGCCTCAAGTGCTCAATTGACCATCCAGATTCATTGATAGATCCAATTTTCAAACGAAGAGCGTATTGATTGGGACGGGTCTATCAACATTGAGTGGTACTGCAAGACTTGGAGAGGAAGGACCACGTCCCTGACAGCACAGGCTGGACATTTGCCGACCACCAACAACACTCGCGTTTTGCCGGGGGCCTGAGACGAGTTAAGGTGAACATGGATTGAACATGGGGGATTCAACTTTGGCCTGCCATAGCGCTGTACCAACAAGAAATAGTAGGGGCAGCCATTAGTACTTGACAGTTGTTGCATAGCATCAGTAAGGTGCCCAAGGAAAGGTCACAACTTTTGGTTTTCCATGTGTTTGCCATGTCCCTGTTTGTCTATTTGCGAGACCTGAGCACGTTCTTCAGGATTCCGACGCATTCTCGGGGTTTCAGATTTATTCCCGTAACAGGGGTACCGGAATCACTAAGGTGGGATGCCATCAATCAAGGCGCGAAACATGGGGACAAAACTTGGAGGTCGCATGCAAATTCGTGTTGGAACCACCCGTTTTTTGGGCATATCCAAACGGTGGGACCCAGATGAAAAGAAGCAAATTGGGAGATGAAAGGGATGAGCATTGAAAGCTTCTCCAATGGTCTCACAATCCTTGCACCATCTTCGAGAATGTCATGCACCTGCGACATGAACCAATGATCATTTCAAGTAAGATATACATCTGATTTTGCACGTCCCCCTTGGCAGAATCTTCAATTGCCATCCACTTGTCACATTTTGTGACGGCCAGGCTCTGATTTTGTGACAGATATCCCATACCATCGCTGGGATCACGAGCTGTACTACGACTCAGATCCCAACTGTTGGATGCAGGCGCCGGTGATGGCGTATCGGGTGGTACAACGAGGTCGTGTCCTATGGAATTTGGTAATTTTCCGTATTTTCAGCTTTCAGGTTTGGTTTAGATATGGTGAGTGTGAGTGTGTGTGTGTGTATGGACGCAATGATGCAATCCAACATGTTGGTTTTGCTGATCTCTGTGGCTCTGATTCCTGTAAAATCACAGGCCCAGTGCTGGGGCCGGGGTCTCATCAAGTCTGGATCTCAAGCATCATCTCAGCTCACAAGGCCTTGTTGACGATTGACGATCAGCTATGTGGCCAGCTGGGTTTGTTGATAGTGAATTTCCTCTGGAAATTGACCGTGAATGTCCATCTTCTTTCCCAAGGTTAGGCATGCAACCATAGATCATCCAACAGTCCATGGTGTGGGCATTTGTTGAACGTTTCCCAGCACCCCCGGTGGCCCTCCGTGGGCCTGAGCACCAAGGACAAACGTCAAGCACGGTCAGTTCATCGAAGGTGCATTGGAGCACCCCATTTCAGCGGGAGAAGTGGCTTGAATATGTTTGAAGCATCATAAAAACCCACTTCTCATCAAAATCCGTAATTATTGCAACTCCTCCAAATAAAACAATTCAAATCGGTGATCAGCGAAAACCCGTGGAGGTGTGGACCTTTTCGACAATAAGTTCTTCGGTGTGCCCGGGGCCTCACAGTGATGCCCATCCCGGTAGTTTCTACCCACTGCCGCAGGGATCATGGGGATCCCCGAAATCCACCGATTCAATGGTGATGCCACGAGGTCCAACATGGAAGCCACTGGAATGGATCCCATGCAGAGACACATCTTGGAGACCAGCTATGAGGACAACCGGGGACAACCGGGATCTTTCAATGCGCTTGCGACATTCCTCTTTCACAGCCTGTATCCTATGATTGTTAGGTTTAACTACGTACCAGGTACCTGAACATCAATCAGCAATCAACAAGCACTTTCAGATATGAAACAATGAAATTGATTTGCTGTGTGCCAACCCCTATAGATTTTAGATGCATACACATGTTGGGAGATACAGATTGCAAATCAAAGACCTTTTGGCATCTTTACAAACGAATCTGGCAGGGGCTTTTCATGGCAGGCTACACCAAGAAGGCCCCAACTGCTGTTGAGCCGCTTCTACAGATGTGACAACACCATAAAACAGCTGGTAATCGAGCCCAGGACCCTTTTGCTATAGCTTCAGTTGGCAACGACCAAAAGTTCAGCTCATGTTCTGAAGATAGAAAATCTGTGACTGTTTGCTAGACCCTCATGGGCAAGTACATTGCCGTGTTCACCGGTTGTCCGGAAACTCAGCAGTTGCAGGAGTTGCGGCCTTTTTTTTGATGGGATCCCCGTGACGAAATAAAAATCAAGCCATGGCTGGAGGTACAAATCCTGAGTGGAACTACATCGACAAAGAGGCCTCTGAGTCAGCTGAGTTTTTTCTGGTCAAAGTTTGTTAGCCAACCGGGACCCACATGTTTCATGGTGACCAACCATGACCAACATCCAACAGTATCCATACTTTAACCGTTAACAGGTAACAACCGTTAACAGTATCCCAGAACCCAAAGCACGAATCCACGATCTGTCGAATCTATCCATCTCAGATCCTCGGCCAGGCCGGTGCCTGTTCCGGAACTGGAAGCTCACAGGCGCAGCAGCATCGTGTCACAGATCCCTTGAAAAACTGTGGGCCCTGTAGGCATTTGGGTCTGGAAGTTTGGAAATCTTCGGATACTCTTGAAGTTTTCTCAGTTGAAAGGCCATTTCAAATCGAACAACGGGACATCGTCACCAGGCCATTACCTCCAACCGAACGTCCTTCTTGTTGGGCATCATGGGTGCGGCATCTCAGCCACGAAGAGCATAGGGTAGTAGAGATCTTACTGAACATCCTTGGGAACTTAGGGTTGGCCTTGGGGATGGCCATTCCCTACATATTTCATCCATAGATCCCAGTATTCCATGATTTTTACGCAGATGAATGGTGATGAACATCCATCAATCCCCAATCATTTCCCATAAATATACAAACAAATATACAATACAGTTATATTATACATATATATATATATTATGTGTTATTATAGACTTAGATATCTTTTTGTTGGGATTTGCTGGGAGATGACCGGAACAGATGACCGAGGTCCCAGCACCTCCATCGACTGCGATCAAAGCTCAGCTGCCAGGGGCACCCAGCACCCAGCAGGGAAATCCGCCTGTGTCGGGGGAAGCCATAGATACATTCCAATCATCCAAGAATATCACTGATGTAACTGGATTCATGATGAATTTTGGTGAGTTTTCTGTATCAGATCTCAACTGGAGTGGAATACCTGCTTCATTGTCATCATACGAATTATGCTGTTCTTTGTTTTCATACTGGTCTTGTGATTCACTGTCATAGTCCGCTTTTTTTCTTCTTTCTCTTCGTGGTCGTCACAGCCAACACCGCAACCACAGAACCCTCACAAATTAAATAAACGAACGATCCAGTAACAACTATCCACAATCATCATTTTGGGGTTGTCTCTAAATTTAGAACCCCAACATCCCAGGGTTTTTACCATTATTTTCACCACATGTTCGCCATGTTCGAATGGCCATGAATCACCAGGGCATGGCGTTGATGGTGGGCGCCACTGCCGTCACTCCTGCCACCGAGCGTCGCACCGAAAGCGGTGGCGACAGCGAGGCGTGGATCCGTATGAAACTTGAAACTGAAGTTCCTATACCATAAAAATTTTGCAGTGAAGAAGCATCCGATGCTATTAGAATTCTATACATTGGTGATGTTCATATGAAATGATGGTTCAAACGTCACAGCGTGATGGTGTTTTCCTTCTTGAAGACACACATTTCACCGCTCCATGTTGAATGAGTATAAGGTGATGTTGAGGATATGTTGTGGATTTGTCATCAACAATGACCCTGGCCCGGGTACAAAACCAGTCTTGCAAGCGGTTGAGGCAGCAATTTGCGGCGGTGTTTTCCTGCAGATGACGCCCTTCATGTGGTTTTGGGTCTTAGTTTGGCGTCAGTTAACTGAGTTATCTGATCTTTGCGCCAAAACGTTGGGTTTTAGCATATTATGACAGAATTCTCAGAGGTTCAATGCTTGCTGTTGCCAGATATTTCAACTCCATTGGCTTCCCTTGGGTGGTCTTTTTGGATTCCTCTAGTCCTCCTTTACACTCTGCCCACAACGGCCGTCTTGACTCCACTGGTCCATTACGCACACGCGCTTACCAAACACGGTTTGAACTTCCCATCTAATCTCTGTGAGGGTTAGAATCTATGTCTTCTTTTTTCCCTCTTCAGAACACATGCCATCAAGAAAATTCTCTTTCATGGCTTACATTTTGGGAGCGTTGTTCTCTATGCATCTCTCCTTAAACCCATTTTCAATGCCTTCGCTGTCAATGCATGATTCAGTCTTGCCAGCTTCTTTTACAGTCACTCTTATGCCTCGACATTGACAGCCATCATCAATGGGGCAGAATTTGTTTGTCATACCGCATCGCCACCTCAGTCCTTACCCTTTTTATGACGGGACATGTTGCGGCTTGTGGCTGAACAATGTGCCATTACCCCAGCTATGGCTTCCATTTGGGGGGCATTTTTTAACCCTGAAGTATTCACACTCCGTTTTTTCTGTTGTTTGGTTAGAGAACCGTTCCTTTGTATCCCATCTCTGTGTAGATTTGGATCTATGTGCTCTGTCTCTTTCATCGCGCTGCTACACGATGCCACCAAGCGCCCCCCATGAATTCCTTATTTGTCGATACCTATCGTGGCTTCCAGTTTCGTCTACACCTACGATCACAACTACATACCCTTCGTTCTCCCTCGTTTTCAAATATCAGACACATTTTGCTCTGGAAAAAATACACTGTCGCTGGCTGAATCGAATTCCGTTCACTTTTCCATTGCAATGTTGGCACAGCCCACGTTCGAAGCTTAAAGAGCTGAGGCCAAGATTTCAAGCCTACATGAATCCCAATGGTCGCTGTTTTTCCTTCGACCAGGCCTTGGTGGCAGAGAGTCACAATTGAAAACACGGTTGCGGTCGTTGGATGAGTGTCTTGATATGTGTTGATATGTTCTGATGCTTTTGCGTCATTTTACCGTGGTTTGGAGTGTGGTTTGATCAGTTAAGTGCCCCAAAATCAACTGTTTGTGCGTTACTACAAATACCAAGTCCCTTTATGTCCATATGTGAGCGGGGTCAAGTCCGTAGCCGAAGATAGGACGGGATGAGTCAGATGAGATGCTCGATATGTTCGATTTGTTCGATCTTTTTCCTCCAAGCCTTCCGCATTCGTTTCTCGCAGTGCGCCAACGGCTACGTCCGTGGCGAGTGCTGTGCTAGCGCACGGCTGCTCAGTGAGGAACAACTTGGAGGCCTTGCCATGCGTTGCCCAGAAATGGGCTATACATGGACTATACAACTGTATACTTTTCACCTCATTGCAATTAAGAGCACTTGGAGCATACCAAGAGACATGCAAGGATCTATTCTGGGCAAGATAATGATTATTATGGGATTTAGCTTTAGCAATGATTTAGTCGTATTTCAGTGGTGTAGATGACATTTTCAGACCATGAAGGTGGCCATCTTGGGCCGCTCAGGCTGCTTTGAAGCCCTACGCAGAGAAGACGAAGTCTGGCGATCTCTCGGTGATTGAGGGGCCCTGCATCGGCACCTTGGCCAAGGACAGTCGACGACAAAGTCTTTCAAAGGGTACGTTAATTGCAATGGATTTTATGGATCTTAGAATCCTGTCCAAAAAGAGTTGATGCAAAGTAAAAAAGGCTTTGGTCGAAAACAGCGATGTTCATCCCCAATAAAACGCTCGAGGCACCATGGTGGGTTGGCGCATGACCAACAACGGCCGCTCCGCTGGGCTGCACGCACCTAGCGGACCCGCTGAGCAGGAGGTGCCTGAGATCCAAACAAACGCAATAATTGGTGAAATAAGTTGAATAAGATGAATAAGTTGAATAAATAAAACAGAAGAAAACTAACAAATTATACAAATTCATGTAAGTTCACTTGAAACAGCCTGTCGAGCTTACCTCGGATCATTTCTCCTTTGAGCAGCTCAGTGGACTTGCCCCAACGCTGCAGGCCATAGCAGATGCCATTCGGCATGCGGGCATTTCACCTTTGGATTTAGATGCGATGGAGTGCCATCCCCAGCTGTGTTGGATCAGCACCCTGCGGATGGCGGACGCTGTTTGATCTATAAAATTCAATAGCTAGGGCACCCCAAAACACACATCAAGCAACAAACCTACTGAACCAAGAACTACCGGTTGCAATTTCCATATGCGGTGGTGATATCCATGCTTGCTTGCGAAGAAAAAAATTATGCAGGTCCTTTTGCTGCTGATATTGTTATTTTTCCCAACCCATATCAAGGAAACATCCCATGATCCCTGCCAATGCTTTGATCTTCGTGTTTCTTGTCCCGCAACTATCCCCCACGTTGATATCCATACTACCAGACCGTTAGTATCAGGATGTTTGGTGGTTGACAGGTGCCACTCAGCTGGCCACCTGCTCTCCGATGGAGTGGAGGCGTGAGATAACTGCAGCGGTGTTCCACGGGTGATTCAATTGCTACTTGGTGGTTCCTTGGGCAGTACCTGTGTGGAGAGAGGGTGATCAAATTCCGGGACTTTTGACAATTCGTTTCATGCTCATTAGCTCTGTGGTCTGAAGATCGCTTAGAGCCCCTGCGGAGTAGCCATTGTGATCATTTGCATCTGTCTCAACGCAGCACTGGAACTTGAGATTCAGAGCTCCCACAGCTTAGTTGGTGGGTATTGAATTTCAGGGGGTACGTGGACCTATCTACTTGCTAATGGTTCATTGCACCAGTCGCAACTGATGACAAGTATGTTATGCCATATGTATTCATATGAGACGTATGCATATTATATATATACACATATTATTATGGATGTGAATCCTCCATGCTTCAAGAGCACTTGACTTTGTCTCAACCTCCTTGCGCGTCTCATCGACTGCCACAGGTAGTGTCTGCCACCACAGTGTGCCGAGGAATGGAAGGCCACGGGGTTGTCCGGAAGGGAAAACCTGAGATGCCAGGAGCCCTAATGGATCTCCATGGAATAGCTGGCTTGAAAGCAGTGTGAATAGTCTTGAGTTGCATTCCCCAAGAGGGATCCAAATGCCAAGTGTTGAAAGATAAGGCAAGGCTTCAAAACGTCGCAAGCAGCAAGCATGTGTGGCTAAGCGGCTAAATTCAGAGGAAGCGCCTTCAGCAGGGTGCTACTGAACGGTTGCCTTGAGCAGGTGGTGATAGAGAAGTGCTGATCCTTGGTAGTATCAAGACCAATGCTGGCAACTCAGGACCCATCGATTTTGCTCACGGGAAGATCTGCTGAGGCTTCCAAATTAAAGGACCGGATAACCCCACATGTTACCAACTTCTTTAGACTTAGACTGACCATAGAAGAGCAAGAAGGGAAGAGGAAGTATAAGAGTGATGGAGCGGTGATGGTGGGTGAGTTTGTGTGTATGTATGTATGTTCATGTACAGTGAGTGAGTGAGAGTGTGAGTGAGTGATGCGAGTGTGGTGTGTGTGAGTGAGGGATGTGAGAGTGAGTGAAGTGAGTGAAGTGAAGTGAAGTGAAGTGAAGCGAAGCGAAGCGAAGCGAAGTGAAGTGAAGTGAAGTGAAGTGAGTGAGTGGGTGAGCGAGGGAGCGAGGGAGCGAGGGAGCGAGGGAGCGAGGGAGCGAGGGAGCGAGGGAGCGAGGGAGCGAGGGAGCGAGGGAGCGAGGGAGTGAGTGAGTGAGTGAGTGAGAGTGAGTGAGTGTGTGTGCGTGTGTGTGAGTTGTGAGTGTGAGTGAGTGAGTGTGTGAGTGTGTGAGTGAGTGAGTGAGTGTCTGCGTTCTCTTTTCCGTTCCCGGCACAGACCGGAAACATCATAACTGCATGGCATAACTTAAAAGTGATTTCAATAACCTACACCAAGTCAAGTCAATGTGTGGAGCAAAAACCCCACACGTCAATGTGAGGAACAAACTGTTGGTGTGCCTGACATATTCAACACCATACATGTTTAACACACATTCGAAACGGCCTCGCCTTTCCAGCCTTCCGACACGCTATCAAAACGATGGTGTGCTCACCATACTTTCGCTGACCAAAGTAATGTTCTGCACTCTTTCGAGCGCAGCCGCACATTTTGTGAATTCTTTCTGCATGCCCTGTGGCTGGTAAACATCGCTGGCACATGATGATGATCATGATGATGATGATGATGATGATGATGATGATGGAAGTGAAGCGAACTGAGTGAGAGGGTGAGTGAGGGAGGGAGGGAGGGAGGGAGTGAGGGAGTGAGTGAGTGAGTGATTGAGTGTGTGTGTTTGTGTGTGGGTGATTGAGTGTGTGTGTTTGTGTCGTTGGGAACCGGCTTCCAAGTCCGTTGAAAGCAAATTTCTAAAAAAAAACACTCATCATCAAAACTCCCGGAACTGGAGCTGCAGCCCAGAGGCAAGAGCCTGCCTTGGAGTAGTTGTTCACGGAGGTGCTGAGTCAGGCGACGAACCGACCTGCCCCCCGCCAAGGTGGGGGAACCATCCTAGCCGCTAGCCCCTGAGAATATGATAATAGGAACGGGCAATAGTTACATATATAATATATATGTTTGAACAGTGTAAGCAAATCGCTAAGGTTGTCAAATCGAAATATTCCATAGCTGTGAGACAATGATTCGACGATATGCACCGCATCACAATACGTGACCAAGTGTGTAATGTCATGGCGAGCCTAACTAAAACTTTTGTCAGTCCCGAGATTGTCCTGCAACAGCTTGACGCGATTACTGCTTGCAGCAGCTGAACATTGTCCCACGCCTGCCACGCAAAAGAGGCGGAGCCCGAGGGACGCCAGGGCGTACATCCGACCCCTTGGCAGTGCACATTGTCCCACGCCTGCCACGCAAAAGAGGCGGAGCCCGAGGGACGCCAGGGCGTACATCCGACCCCTTGGCAGTGCACATTGTTCCACGCCTGCCACGCAAAAGACGCGGAGCCCGAGGGACGCCAGGGCGTACATCCGACCCCTTGGCAGTGCACATTGTCCCACGCCTGCCACGCAAAAGCGGCGGAGCCCCAAGGGACGCCAGGGCGTACATCAAACCCCTTGGCAGTGCACATTGTCCCACGCCTGCCACGCAAAAGAGAGCCCGAGGGACGCCAGGGCGTACATCCGACCCCTTGGCAGTGCACATTGTCCTTGCCACGCAAAAGAGGCGAGCCCGAGGGACGCCAGGGCGTACATCCGACCCCTTGGCAGTGGCCACGCAAAAGACGGCGGACGCCGGGACGCCAGACGCGTACATCCGACCCCTTGGCAGTGCAGATTGTCCCACGCCTGCCTACGCAAAAGACGGTGAGTGAGTGAGTGAGTGAGTGAGTGAGTGAGTGAGTGTGAGTGAGTGAGTGTGAGTGAGTGTGAGTGTGTGAGTGAGTGTGAGTGAGTGATGTGAGTGAGTGTGATGTGAGTGAGTGAGGTGAGTGAGGTGAGTGAGGTGAGTGAGGTGAGTGAGGTGAGTGAGGTGAGTGAGGTGAGTGAGGTGAGTGAGGTGAGTGAGGTGAGTGAGGTGAGTGAGGTGAGTGAGGTGAGTGAGGTGAGTGAGGTGAGTGAGGTGAGTGAGATGTGAGATGAGTGAGATGAGATGAGTGAGATGAGTGAGATGAGGTGAGTGAGGTGAGATGAGGTGAGTGAGGTGAGTGAGGTGAGTGAGGTGAGTGAGGTGAGTGAGGTGAGTGAGTGAGTGAGTGAGTGAGTGAGAGTGAGTGAGTTGTGAGTGAGAGTGAGTGAGAGTGAGTGAGAGTGAGTGAGAGTGAGTGAGAGTGAGTGAGAGTGAGTGAGAGTGAGAGTGAGTGAGAGTGAGTGAGTGAGAGTGAGTGAGAGTGAGTGAGAGTGAGTGAGTGTGAGTGAGTGTGAGTGAGTGTGAGCGAGTGTGAGCGAGTGTGAGCGAGTGTGAGCGAGTGTGAGTGAGTGTGAGTGAGTGAGTGAGTGAGTGAGTGAGGGAGGGAGGGAGGGAGTGAGTGAGTGAGTGAGTGAGTGAGAGTGAGTGAGTGAGTGAGTGTGAGTGAGTGAGTGAGTGAGAGTGAGTGAGTGAGTGAGTGAGTGTGAGTGATGGAGGGAGGGAGGAGGGAGGGAGGACGGGAAGGAAGGAAGGAGGACGAGGAGGAGGAGCGGATACAGAACTAAAAACAAAAACCCCACACATCAATGTGGGGAATAAAGTCACCTGTTGGTAGTCATTCTTAATATTCTTAGAATCATTCTGGTAAAGGTCGAACCACTTACAAACATCTTCACATCCCCCCTTTAGATTGTTCAGTATGGCGCTTGCACACGATCCCAGGTTGGAATACAGCAAGAAGCTTGTGGCATCACCGCGTTCCTCAAGGCCTGGCTGCAGACAGTTGCTGAACTCCAAACCAAAATTCGCTGCATCTCTACGTAGTTTTTCCATAAGTGTACGCATTTAACTTGTATACTGTACCAATGCATAATCATGCAAATACTGCATACAGAATTGATGTGTTCAGTGGGAGTGGGGCCCAGCTGGATAGGGTGACGACCTCAACCGCTGTTGCCTGTTCAGGTCTTGTACAACATCAGCTATGCCAACAATGCAGCAGTCCCCGGAGAGACGGGTAAGTCTGAAACCTCTTCGCCTGTCCATACACGTTACATGTCACATGACAATGTTGGGGAAAGGCACTTTTGGACCCACAGTATGACCTGGCAATTTGCAGCCAAAATCGGTTTTATTTGAGGTGTGCTTTTTAGGCAATCTAACCCACTACCACCCATAAAACACGGCGAAAGTCGATTCCCATGCCAAGGCACCCACCATCCATTTGAAGCAGCTGAATCCGCACATCGAGTGGGGGAGCTTAGGGTGAGGATCTCACTGAAAGATGACGAAGGAATGTATGGATTCCTGTCGTTTATGTCTTTGACTTGGAGAGGCGCCAAAGCGCCAAACAGCTCATTTTCCCGAAAAGTCGACACAGTTGACACAGCTGACACTGAAATCATTTGCAATCGGCTGTAACATCCTGTAACCCGCAAAGACCAAGCAATCATGCTGAATTCAAGCTGGCAGTTGCAGCTCGTTGCGGTACACTGCCCAGGTTAGGCGACAGCGCGGTGTGTTTCAACACCGAGGTGTCTGTGGGAGAGGGTGAACATGAGTAGGGTCCAGCAGCGAATAAAAAGTTGTGGGTATTTCTTGGATCGCTGAAAGAGACTGATGGGTATACAACCTAACAGATGTGAATGCGTGCATGTGTGCAATAGGGATAGGAGAGAGGAGGGAGAGAGAGAGAGAGAGAGACTCAGACAGAGACGGGGACAGAGTCAGAGTCAGCGGGGTATCAATCAACGATCATTTGAAAGGGTGTAGACGGAATGGGCATGGGGAGGTAATTAGGGATGTTCGAGCAACGAGAAGGGGACTTGTCCACGATGAAATTCCAATAGGTAGATCAATAAACCAATACATGATAAATGTCTTGTCTTTGACTGAAACGTCACAAATTTGACCAAGTTCAACTAACTTTGAGCCTTGGGGCAAAGAAACCACACTGATCGTTTTTCACTTCCGTTGAAGGTACCAAGAATCCCCATGGACTGAATGGTGGTTCCATGTCTTGCTGCATTTCTTGAGTGCTAGGGCAAGTTGTTCAGGACATGACAAGCTTGCGAAATGATAAGTGAAGTTCTTGTGTTTTGCTGGAGATGCAGCTAGTTCAACTTCCGGGACTCAGGGTTACAGACTTACGGTTTCTAAAAGAATGGGGATTCACCAAGCATGGCCAGAATGGCCCCAATCTCAAACAGCACCTGTAGACTAGTGACCAGTGGTTGGCGATCCCACTTGTGAATGGATCTGAAGGGCTTGGTAAAAATTGAATGCAAAACATCAACTTGGCAAGCCCCCTGTGTCAATCACATCGGAAACATTGATCAGATGACGACTTGATTGCTTTTCTTGGATCCAAGCCATGGGTTAATTGGCGGTTGCTCTGTTTTTTTAGGCCCGGGCTCGCCTTCCAGCTACTCTCTAGCAGTGGCTAATGGCAGCATGTTATGCCGCGGACTGTTTCCTTCAAGTTGGAGTCCAGCTGCATTCAGATGCAGTCACTGCAGTCTTGACACACAAACCCTTGACCCATGAACTTAGATCCACATGGCTGTTTCTGCCTCACTTGGTCAATCTATCGGATGCACAAGCGCAATTCAAGACGCACATTGCCAAGCATTTGTTGACAGACTCAGCAGTATCTCACTTGTTGGAGCTGGAAGAAATGGGCCAAGGCATGTCCTAGTCTTTCTCAGTTTCTGGCAGCCTCCTTTGTTGCTATGCGGTTTGCCAAAGCGCCACAACATCCCACGGTGAAATCTGGTTGCCTCACTAGTTGGATGGCGTTCCTCAGTTTGGAACAATATTTCCCGAGTCTTCCGATGGGTCATGACATGTCATGACTTGTCGGGTTCTCAGAGTATGAGCGTCGCGGTGCAGTTCTTTGTGGTCGCCATCGCTGGGCTGTTCACCGTAAGCTTGTCCGATCGCATTGGCCGACCGGCGCTGATAGCAGGTTACTTGTCAAACTTAAGATATGTGTGCCTTTGCCTTGTCCCAAAGACGGTATAGTTGAACAGGTGAACGCATGTTTGTTTCAGGAAAATTCAGACGTGTTGATGTTCTTTTGGTTTTGAAACTTGAAAGTTTCGACGCTTCTGTGAACTGCCCCACATTTATCTTCACAATTTGTGTCACAATACTCCACAGAGCCTTCCGCAGGTTTGTTCGTTTTGGCTTTGGGCCGCAGAATGGTTCGACCGGATCTGTGGCCTTGGCTACTTCCCGCACCGCCCACGCTTGGGGATGATTGGGGCTCTGTGCCCTGGCCTGGGCTCTGTGTATCTCTGTAACGCTAACACCATGGCATTTGCATGTTGGATATTTTTGTTTAAATATGATTAAATCATATTATGGGAGATGCAGCTGACAATATGGGTCGGATGATGCTTTCATGCAACCTCTTGGACTGAAGAGTACATGGTTGAAATGTGTCACATTGATCCGCCTGTGTCTTTTGACGGCGAAAGGTTTCGCCAAAGCGGGGAGGTTTTGTTCCTCAACCTGCCCTAGTTGACCTTTTGTGCGAAACATGTGTGCCCGTTTTGCATGGTGTTTTTCACCTCGTTTATGCATGACAAGGCAAGTGTTGACCTTCTTGGTCAGTCAGCATGTGGCCCCGATTCTTGGTGGCTTGGCTGAAGCTGGCACTGCTTCTTGCCCTTGGAGAATCCTGGGCTCTGCGTGGTCCTGGCTGGTCAGCTCCAATATGGTGGCAGAGGTAACGGCCTTATCCATTGCCTCATTCATGTTGGTTTGGGCAGCGTGTCTCCTTATCTTCGAATGGGATGCCATCAGGTCTGCCAAAGGCTCACTGCTCACCAAATAGCCACAGTTCAACTTTTACTTGGTGCTGCCGTTGCAATTATTTCTCTTGTATTGTCAGCCGGTTTCTTGAATTTTTTGCGGGTCTATTTCTTGGCATTTTTTCTGCAATCTGTGGTGGAAACGTCCAGCATAGTACCACTCGCGGTACTTTATTTTGACCCCCTCGCAGATTGTACTGGCGCGGCTGTGTCTATTGAAATTTTATTCAAAAGTGTACCACCTTGCATTTATTGCATGGTGCGCACTCCGTCCTTGATTGCTGGCATCAAGAGCTTCATGACTTTGCAATCATGCACTGCAGCCTCTGCATGTGTTTTCCTTGCCCCAGTTGTCCACACGGTTCTTTGGATGTTCTTTGGATAACTGGGGCAACACAGCCAATGGATGTCAATTCATCAAGACAGCCAAGTTGCGATGGATGGCCTGTTGAAAACATGTGTTGCCGATGCGGAGTTCAGCCGTGTTCTTTCACTAAACTGTTTGGAAGATCACATCTATGATGAGTCATGATGAATCATAGTCAACACCTGGTACTGGTATTTTTTCAGCACCCTGCAGTACAATCTTTCCAGAGATGGAGTCGCACTACTCCATGGACTGCCATGATCTAAAGCTCACCCCAGCAGGTGTCTTTATGACTGTGGCTTTTCCAGACGTTTCAGATCACTCATCAACGTGAGGTTGTTAGGTGAATTGCGTAGAAGCTGCAACCGCTCCATTCAGATGATGGTATCCTTTAATGGTTTTAGTGCTTGTTTCTAGGGCATGCTGAATCCCCATGTATAGTGATGCATTCGCAGGTTGGCTGCTTGGTATCTTAGCTGCTTCCTGTCGCTGAGATCCAATCCTTGCAGGCGTTGGCCTACAAAGATAGCAGGGCTTTCCACGGCTGTGGCACACGTGGTCTTGGCGGCACCAACGTGGCCCCTGCCATGTGTGAAGTCGGACATGCCAAGGGTGCAAGGACCTGCGCAAGGACGCCCACGGATGGATTGTTAAAGTATTGTTAAAGTATTCACAACGTTGTCTTCACAAGTGCAGTTTGAGAGTCAATGGCTCAAATCTAGCAATGTGACAACGCAGTTGTTCTGAATACAAATTCTGTAAGACCTCTTGGGGGATGGGTCCTCATGGGACATCATGGGTCCTGTGACTCGTGCCAGATCAACATGATTTGCTGGTACTCCGCCGATGGCTCTCGCGCCCTCAGCCTAAGCCAATGGGCGTTGTAGAATCCGTTTATTCGAGTTGACATCAAACATGTCTTCCAGTGTTATGACTTTGATCATTTTTTCAATGTTTGATGAAGTTTGGAGGGAAAGAAATCCATCCTCTTCTCAAATTGTTCACTATGAGCAACATCAAAGGGATTGTGGATCAAGATGGAGGCCCACCATGTAAAGCTCAGATCTACAGCCCTTTTGCGAATTGATCTCAACTTCGATGTATTTTCTCTTTGCTAGGTTATGGCTTCAAGATCTTTTCAAAATCTTTCGATGAATTTCAGCACTTTTTCCAAGGTCCCAATCTTTAAACCGAAGATGGAGCGTGCCTCCTTCGCATATTGGCCTGGAGGTGGGGCGTTCTCAAATTGATCAGCCGAAACTAAGAGCTGCTGCTACAGAATCGCATGACATGTTGGATTATGGAAATTATGTTGGATTAAAATGATTAAAATGGATTAAAATGGATTAAAATGGATTAAAATGAACTAAAGATATTGCGATGCTGTGAGTGATTGGGTGCAGGCGGCGGCCTCTTAGACAGCGAGTACAAAGCCTCAGAGGTGCCGGTTCCAACATCCACTGGGGACCACCAGGATCCTTGTCTTTTTCAAAATCCATCGATTTCTTCGGTGATTTTTGAGCTGAGTTCGGGCGTCCTTGCTGCGTTTCCGTGCTTTTTCCATGATTTACCAGCTTCTTCTTTGAAGAAGCTTTCACTGACGCCGGATCTTGTTTCTAAGCCGATCTCAGCCTGCCTTACCGCAGGGCTATTTCATTGTGGGCTCATGGAGCAACTGGCGAGAACCAGAAGAGATGGTTTGGAGCTCAGACGCACCAGAATCACTGCAGGTACAGAATGCTCAGCTTTGGTTGGATGTTGAATATTGCTGAATGATATTGTTGGGGTGACCCGCCATGCAGATAAAAGAGATCTTTCAGGAATTTGAAGTCGGTGATGCTCCCATTTGCCATGTAGTTATGCGTTTATCAGAGGTGACTTGTCATTTGATTCTCCAAGATTGATGTCAACATCACATTGGATTTTAACATGTCTTAAATTTGGCGATATGGATTTTTATTCCTGGATGGCGTGTGCACTCTTGCGGGGCTTCGCATTCACTCAAAGTTCATTCTTGATTAATGTGGGAGCCGTTCATGCCCCGGTGATTTGTTGTTCCGTTCTTGGAGATGTGTCGTTTGAAGCCGCTTGTACTCCCATACGGTGCTGATTTTTCATGTCTTTCAAAGAGCGCGCGATGATCCCAAGTGACGAGTGCCAACACATGCAGTAAGGAAAGGGTTCAACTTCCCAGATTAGCGCAGATTAACCCAGATATCCCGATTGTTCTGGGTTGAGATCTTGGGGCCCTTGGAAGGTGAAGCAGAAAGATGGCTCCTACTCCGCCGTGGCCAGGGGCTCTGCCACGGGGATCGGTTCCAACAGTCCCAGCATTGCTCAACTTGCGCCCGTGGCGCTAGGCGTTTAAAACCTTAAGTGTTTGGATTGAATCGAACAAACTGTTGAGAGTTTAGAATAGGAACATGGTATGGTATGATCAGTTTTGTTGGTAGCTGCCCTCCCAATTTTGCACAACTCAAGAAAACATATTAAAGGACACATGCGACACATGCGCACCTGTGATGCAATCATGAATTTGACGAGCCCCTTTCCTACACAGCCTGCAGGTCACTCTGGGCGCGTCCCGGAAAGAGGCGTGGTTTTGTCGTTTAAACAACCCAAGTGGCCTTGTCAAACAATGGTAGACTCGCTGCCATTTTATGTCCAATTTGATGGTGACCGTGAGGTTTGAAGCCATTGGATTTTGGTGTATCCCCGTACTTTGCGACAGACGGTGTTGAGTGCGTTTCATTGTCTCATCGCAGTCACTGTGGAACCGGGCCTTCTAGAGGCCTTCCATATCCTGCTGGATGGTGAGCCAGACAAAGTACTTCATCCAGAGAGGCAGCATCGGTCATGGGTCATTTGCTTGCCTGCAGGGAACAGCTGACATTTCCAAGGAAAAGGATTGGAAAAGCTGTATGAATACAAGGGGACCAACCCAGATAGATTTGCGTTTGTCCTCTTCTTCATGCCATTTGAGGCGGATTGGAGTGGCATGCCGCTTCAAATGTTTGAAAGGGCTCCAAGTGGCTGAAAGTGGCACTATCTGAGATGATACGCTGTCAAGCGGCCCCAAACATCCTCGTACGGTTTTGGTTCATTTTGAAGCTATCATGTAAGTGTATACGATCATGTATGTGTATACGCATGTCGTGGCCGCGGCTACAAAGCACTAGTCATTGGATGGGTACATGCATAGCACGTTTCTTTTCTAAAATCGCATCATACATGGTTGCTTTGTATCGCTTTACGCTCATCACACTGACGAATGTGTGTGTGTGTGCGTGTGGAGCGCACTGTGTGCACGAGCAACAACTGCATTATTCACATGTCCTAATGCAAGGGCGCGCATAAGCCGGATTACTCCCGCCCTTTCGCAAATGGCTTCTTCATTTCCTTTTTCAGCGAATGAGATATATATTTCACAAGAATCCTAGCAAACACAAGCAGTAAAAGCGAGATCCCAGCAAATAAGCCCAGGTAAACACAAGAAAGACACCGAGAAACTGAGGTTCCCAAACATATTTATCAAACACAAGGCCCTTCAAGCAAAGGAGGTTCAAAGTTTCAATTTCAATAGGAAACGGACAGCCTCTTTCGATCAAAAAGCGAAGGGCCACTAATCAAGCACAGTTTCAGCATACCTTAAGACAACCAAGACATGCGAAACTGGAAAGAAATCAAAAGACTACGGGGAAGACCCGGGCAAGGAGGAAAGAATCAACAAGCAAGACCCATGTAACACAGACAAACTCAAGGAACCAAGATGCAGGTAACAAAAGAGACGCACAACAAGCCAACAAAGAAACCTAGCATAGCGAAAGGAACCTCAGAACGAAAATCTTTGGCGCTTAATTCAGAGGAAACCAGACCAGCCAAGACCCATGTAACAAAGGAAGAAGACAACAAACGCGGCAAAGGGAGTGCAACAAAAGGGTCTGCAAGAATCGGCCCAGATGACAAAAAGAAGTACTGGACAAAGGTCTCTCGCGTGATCAGAGGCAGATTCAATGCACCACAACAGTCCCACTCAGTGAGAAAATCACCAAGTAAAGACACACGCAAAGGTTTGAGAAACGCAAACCAAGATAATTGGAACAAAGAAACTCAAAATAGAGACCCAGGATGTTGTGAACCTCGCGATCCCAACTCAAAAGATGAGTTGAAACACTCGCTGTAGCAGGGGTGTTGCTGACAGGCATTTGCTGTCGGCTTTGCGATTTCGTCGACAGCAAAATCGCACATAGACATCATAAACACTTCATAAACGCTTCATAAACTTAAACATTTCAAACATGTCATAAACAGCTCATAAACACTTCATAAGCAGTTCCTAAGCAGTTCATAGACAGTTCATAAACAGTTCATAAACACTTCATAAACACTGCATAAACACTTCATAAACACTTCATAAACACTTCATACACAGATCATAAACCATTCATAAGCATAGATTAATCTTAGACATTTACTCAATTTATTATCAATATCTTTCAATCTTAGGATCGCCTCGGTTGCAACACGATGTCCTGTGGCATTCGGGTTCTGTCTCTACAAGGGCGATTTAAAAGAGATGTAAAGAAACTACGAACACGCGCAAGGAGAATGACGGCAAAAAACCCAGCTACAACAAGAGAAATATAGAAATTTAACAACTGAAGATGTGAAGATCTATACAGTCTATGCAGCTCAAAATTCAACAAGCAAGGACAGCATGCCAAGAGTCCACTCCCAGGCAATCTAACCTGGTGGTTCAATTTCAGTTGGCAAGATCCTTCACCAAAATTCTTTGGGGAAAAAGCGCGCTGAAAAATTCTACTTTCACAATCTCATCTAATGGAAAACTACTAGTTACTATCTTCATGTCGGTTCCCTCCGTGATGTTTCTGTGGCAAAGAGAGTGAAGTTTGGTGAGCCTCTGAGCTGCTGCCGAAACGCTCGAGGTGGGCTGATCCAAAAAGTCTTAAACTGATACCAACCAAACCAATCACCAAATGATTGCAATTTAGCAGCTCAGCAGCTCTTTGTGAGCTACGCTGTAACAGCTAAAATGGGTTCTTGATTTGTAATTCGAAAATGCATGCCAGACCAAAGAGCTGCGCCCGTGCAGAAGAGGGGAGCCCAACACCCAAAACCCAAGCAAACAAAGGAGAACCGAGTCCAGCAACAGCCCATATCAGTAGTGAATGAAAAGAGAGCCCAGGCATAAAACAGGAGCAACTTGACAAAAAGAAGCAGGCGAGTAAGGTAACAAACAAAGACGTGCCTGATATGGATGAAATCAGCAAACTAAACCTCAACAAGCAAGGTAGAATTTCCGCAAACCTTGGCCCACTTAATCAGAAGCATGCCTCTTTCTCTATCGATATAGAGTGTGGATGTGTCAGTGCACATATGTGTATTGTTTGTACCTTGGTTCTACACTGACCCTGTGCCAAATCCTGGCGGCTGCAAGCAGCAACGCCGCCCCATTGTGTACAGTGCCTCGCAGGCCTGATGCAGTGTCTGGCACTCGCCTCCACGGCCCCACCAACAGATATTTGATTCATGTGCGAAGCTCAGTCCAGATCTGATGCGCTCTCAAAGGTTCAAGTTCGGAAAACGGTTCCAAAAGGCGGAGTCAAGAGCCTACAGTGCCTACCTTTGGAGGTTTTGATACAAAGCGATGTCTTTTAAAGAATTCGCAAAATATTTCAAAATCTTTGTGTGAGTAGCGTCCATTCCTGTCGAGTTTTGACTAGATCCCCCCCTCCAAACCGGTCCTCCGACACTCAGGGCCAGCAATTGAATTGGGTCATCGATGGACGGCAGGCAGAGCAAGGGGGGAAATAGTCAAACTAATGCCTCAAGCAATGAAAGTGACAAGGAGATCCCAGAAAGGTGAATGAAACAGTTTTCAGATCAATCTCTAGCAGGACATGATATCTCAGGGGGTCGCTGGATATTTCTTTCCCTTCCTCATTGACCATTTGCCCTCGGCCTTTTCTTCATGGAACTCCGGCTTGCAATTTTTGATGCATACCCCAACGTTGTCAGATGATTTGTTTCCAAAGCCGCTTGCAGGTGAATGTAGCTGTGGAAGATGCTGCCAGATTCTAAGAAAGATGCCATGCACTTTTTGCCGTGCTTCTGTGGTATTGGAGGTATCCTGCATTCACATCTTTGTTGATTGTTGACATGTTTCTCGCCAAATATGTTCAATGATATTTAAGATTTATATGCAGATGATGTGATATGATATGAGTGTTCCATTCTGTCCTTTCATTGGCCTTTCCGCTTAAATATGGCATGCCCTTAGCTGAGGTGAAGGCCATTGTGCCCCACGCCAGCTCTCAGATGCAGCTGCGCACCTCGCGCGATGCCTTGGCACACGTCCGAGACTGGGGCGAAGAGGGCGATCGCTACGAGGCACGGATAGCAGAAGAGAAGCAGAAGAGAAGCCCTGACACATCTGACACATCCAAGAGTTCAGAGCAAAACATTGCAAAATCGAAATTGCTGTGTCCTGATATGTCCTGATGCTAATCATTGTCATTGTCACGTTGGAGTTGGCCAAGTGTGAAAGACGACATTGCCTGTGACACACCTAGTATCCATGCGATCCATGGCAGGTGAAGCTCTTCATCTCTGGGCGTTATCGCGCTGTAACCTGGTCCAAGATCTGAGCAGCTCCGTGCTCCCTTGATCCAAGAGATTTGACACTACAATGTGGGCCAGATGCCTGAGAACATTTAGGAGCCAATTCAACCCAACTATAATATGAAAGTGTGAGGTTTGGATCTACGATCCCAGACCAGGAACTAGGCAAAATGAAGCACGTTGACACACACACACTGTTGATTTTTTGGAAGTGAACTGCAATGACGATGTGGTTGTACACGCCTGGTAGAATTCCTGAGTCCATCATCCTTGATAAACAGGTGAAACCAGGTCCAAATCATTAATCAGCAAGGTGGTTCTTGGGTTAGCCACATCCCATCGCGGAAAAGGAAAGACATGATTAGGCAGGTACGTCGATCCAGCGTCCCGGATCGATATCACAGAATGTCATAGCCGTCTTCGTTGGCTGCAGAACTATGACATTCCCTGCAGCCCCCTGCTGTTAAGTAGTCTTTGGCGCATGAATTCGGAAAACATAACGTGCATAGTCTTTGGCGCATGAATTCGGAAAACATAACGCGCATAGTCATCAAATGTCCAGTTGTAGTTTTCTGCATGTGAATAGCAGTGTACACACACACAAAGGCCTTCACATGGAAGGCAAATTCTGAAAGACTGCCTAATGAAGTAAGCAGATCACGTCAATATAAGCAACGTTGAACTCAGTCGAAAATGAAATTCATGCTTGGGATTAGGTGTATACGCACCTGCATCTTCATGGACAGGTCTTTCCAAAGAAGGCACTCTGAGGTAGCGGCGTGTAGAGCAAGTAGACCACGTAGATCAAAGAAATCGCGATAAATAAAGTCGAAATGGAAAGGACATGGTTAGATTAAAAGGTGTTAATTGTTATTGGCGAAATGATTGAAAATGATACAATCCAAAGTTTGTATTAGCGAAATAATTGAATATGATGCAATCCAAAGTTATCGTGCCCTTGTCCCTCACGAACATCAATTGTTTGTTGCAGATTGCGCAACACTTTGCGTGTGGAGAGCGGTATACACATATATCCATATGTCTTCATAAGGAAGGTGACACTTCTGGGTTGCCGACGCGTGGAACAAATAGAGCAAGGACAGTATAACTTTGGAGTGTTAAAAAGTGAAGATAACTGCACTTCAATTGAAACATGGATACCACGAAATGAAATGGACACAAATCGATTGTATTCTTGTTCTTCCACAAATCCGTTTAAAATGAACGTTTATTAGTTGTCTATGGACGAAGGGCAGAATTCGCCAAAAACTGAGATTCCGACGCGTAGAACACGTAGGTCAGGTGGTTGAGATAGAACGCAGTGATGAAAACAGTAAATGGATTGATTAAATCACAGTTATATAACACTTAAGCCAGTGTGTTGCAGTACCGTGAACCATATAGAGTAGAACAACGGACGTAAACTAAGCTGGAGAACTGAATATAATCAATTACGGAAAACAAATATCACACTGCGAGCCAGGCGTTTTGGGTGGGATGTTGCAGAAAACGTTTGAACAGTTGCAAAGTTGCAATTGGAATGAAAAGCACAAAACCAAAATGCAGCTACGACGGCTTCTTTTCAGTCAAACGGTGTCAATTGTTGTCTGGTCCATTTGTGTCCAAAACTGTTGATCTTGAAGACGTTGTTGTGCCAAATTGGATTCCACTGTCATGATGCGATCCATGAGATACACTATGGGTCCTGCATGATCAATACTCTGAGCTTCCAATCTATATTCTCCTACAATGCCTTTGACAGTCAACGATAATCCGGATGGTGAAGTAGGCGTACGTCTTTCCGCATGTTCAGCTGGCAACGTGATGGGAACCGGTGATACTCCTGATTTTGCTGAGGACTCCGCGATAGGTTATATCTTGGGGGTTGCTTGGTGAGGTCCATGTTCAACTGTACGTGAAGGATGTGAGGGGGGAGGTGAAGGAAGGGGACCGGGCGGAGTCTGTAGAACTGGTGCATGTCCGGGAAATGGTGAAAATGCAGGTGTCGCCCGTGGTACAAATGGAGCTGCTGCACACGGTGAAGACAGTGATACCATCGGTTGTGACGGAAGATACGCAACGGTAGCACTCAACGGCGGTCCATTGGCAGCTTTGCTTCTTGCATGGAGTTCCATATCGCGAAAAAGTCTGCTGAACACGAAAGAAGAAATGAGTTGTTCAAGAATTGTCAGTACATTTAGCGCATGGTGTGTTATGACGAATGATGTGTAGAAATGAAAAGCAACAAATTGACTTAACATGTCAAAGAGCTTGCTATGAGCCAAGGGAATGCATTACCCAGATTGAAAACGCATCAAAATCATGTATCAACTTGCGCATGATCGAAAACATGAATCAAGATCGTACACACATCTGCAGCGATAAGGTCCCTACCGTGTTTGACATTCTGCTTGGTTTGAGCATCACAAACTATGTGTGTCCGCACACTTTTGTGATAGGTCTTCCTATATTCTAGATCTCTTCAAATTGATCTCTTGTCCTCACAATTGTAAATTGATTTGAAAGAGAAGGTGAAAACTCATAAAATGACAGTAAGAAGTAGGGTTCCCGGCCAATAAAATCCTTCGGCACATGGCCACCTTCGCCCTATGGGCACCATTCGCCCGTTGGGCACCCCCTTCACATGGAAGGCAAATTCTGAAAGACTGCGTGTAGAGCAAGTAGACCACGTAGATCAAAGAAATCGCGGTAAATAAAGTCGAAATGGAAAGGACATGGTTAGATTAAAAGGTGTTAATTGTTATTGGCGAAATGATTGAATATGATGCAATCCAAAGTTTGTATTAGCGAAATAATTGAATATGATGCAATCCAAAGTTATCGTGCCCTTGTCCCTCACTAACATCAATTGTTTGTTGCAGATTGCGCAACACTTTGCGTGTGGAGAGCGGTATGCACATATATACATATGTCTTCATAAGGAAGGTGACACTTCTGGGTTGCCGACGCGTGGAACAAATAGAGCAAGGACAGTATGACTTTGGAGTGTTAAAAAGTGAAGAGAACTGCACTTCAATTGAAACATGGATACCACGAAATGAAATGGACACAAATCGATTGTATTCTTGTTCTTCCACAATTGAACGTTTATTAGTTGTCTATGGACGAAGGGCAGAATTCGCCAAAAACTGAGATTCCGACGCGTAGAACACGTAGGTCAGGTGGTTGAGATAGAACGCAGTGATGAAAAACAGTAAATGGATTGATTAAATCACAGTTATATAACACTTAAGCCAGTGTGTTGCAGTACCGTGAACCATATGGAGTAGAACAACGGACGTAAACTAAGCTGGAGAACTGAATATAATCAATTACGGAAAAACAAATATCACACTGCGAGCCAGGCGTTTTGGGTGGGATGTTGCAGAAAAACGTTTGAACAGTTGCAACAGTTGCAAGGTTGCAATTGGAATGAAAAGCACAAAACCAAAATGCAGCTACAACGGCTTCTTTTCAGTCAAACGGTGTCAATTGTTGTCTGGTCCATTTGTGTCCAAAACTGCGGGCAATCGAAATGATCTGAGGAATGCATTCGCGGTATCTAGGTGCCTGAAGGGTATGAAGGGCGAGCAGGTCTTGAACTTGAGGAAGTTGAAGTTCACGAGGAAAAGTATTTTGTAAAATTAGACGTGTTCGAGCAATGAGACCTGTATACATGGAGCTTCTAGGTCCAAAAACCAGCGGAAGTGCGTATCACTGTGTCCCAAGGCAATACCGATGTAATGGTACGTTGATGTGGATTGATGTTGAATCCAAGTGCATCAAAACCCTGTACTTCTTCCAAAAGAATGGGCGAGGTGTAGAAGTCCAAATTCCAAAAGCAAGTTTGTCGAAGGCGATCAGTGAGTTGTTGTGGACCCAAAAGCAGACGGTTGTCAACATAACGAAAGGAACTAAAAAGTTTTCCAGAAAAAATGGCTTGTCCAAAAGGCATGCTGTAGGTGTGCTCTCGATGTAGGGCAACTAGTGAACATACAACCGGGGCCCACTGTGAGCCCATAGATGCGCCTTGTATCTGTCGGTAGCTAACACATCCCAGTGAAAATAAGCTATGGCGAAGGAGGTACTTCACAAGACTATGGTCTCAATTATTGGATTGGTTTGAAGTGTTCGCTCAGTAGAAAACCTCGAAAACATGAATCAAGATCGTACACACATCTGCAGCGATAAGGCCCCTACCGTGTTTGACATTCTGCTTGGTTCGAGCATCACAAACTATGTGTGTCCGCACACTTTTGTGATAGGTCTTCCTATATTCTAGATCTCTTCAAATTGATCTCTTGTCCTCACAATTGTAAATTGATTTGAAAGAGAAGGTGGAAACTCATAAAATGACAGTAAGAAGTAGGGTTCCCGGCCAATAAAATCCTTCGGCACATGGCCACCTTCGCCCTATGGGCACCATTCGCCCGTTGGGCACCCCCTTCACATGGAAGGCAAATTCTGAAAGACTGCGTGTAGAGCAAGTAGACCACGTAGATCGAAGAAATCGCGATAAATAAAGTCGAAATGGAAAGGACATGGTTAGATTAAAAGGTGTTAATTGTTATTGGCGAAAAGATTGAATATGATGCAATCCAAAGTTTGTATTAGCGAAATAATTGAATATGTTGCAATCCAAAGTTATCGTGCCCTTGTCCCTCACGAACATCAATTGTTTGTTGCAGATTGCGCAACACTTTGCGTGTGGAGAGCGGTATACACATATATCCATATGTCTTCATAAGGAAGGTGACACTTCTGGGTTGCCGACGCGTGGAACAAATAGAGCAAGGACAGTATAACTTTGGAGTGTTAAAAAGTGAAGATAACTGCACTTCAATTGAAACATGGATACCACGAAATGAAATGGACACAAATCGATTGTATTCTTGTTCTTCCACAAATCCGTTTTAAAATGAACGTTTATTAGTTGTCTATGGACGAAGGGCAGAATTCGCCAAAAACTGAGATTCCGACGCGTAGAACACGTAGGTCAGGTGGTTGAGATAGAACGCAGTGATGA